GTTTCACCTGTAACCATTTGCCAAGCGGGATGAGCTTGAAGAGCAGATACTATGGCGAATTGCCTCACAAGGAAGCTGTACGCCCCGCCCACCTCCCTCCGCTGTCTCTCCGGGCGGACTTCGTGGGGTGGGAGCTCTTGGTAGCAGCCAATCAAGGGTCAGGGAGGGAGGAGGGGCGGGGCAGGTGGGTGACAGAGGTCGGGCGAGCGCTTTAGACGCGGTGCTTGGGGCTGGCTTGGCGCCTTGGGGTTCTCCATCTGCCCTTCCCCAGTTTGGGCTGAGGGGCTGGGCCAGCAGCGAGAGCCGCGTCGCCTCTCTTGCATCTTTCAAACTGAGGCCTTGAGCTGGGTCCCATCGGATCTCTCCCCTCCTTCCGCATACTGCCCGAGGGACCGGATCTCCCTCTATCCGCCCCCCGCCCAGCCCAGGAGTTCCAGGCCCCATCCACCCCCATCTCCACCGCGGTCACAGGCCCTTTAAGCGTCATTCCTACCCCCTGCCTTTTCTGTGGCCGTCTCAGCGTCCCCGAAGCCACCCCACCAGCCCCTGTAGCAGCTGCGTTTCCCTTGTCTGGTCGGTGGTGGTGGTTGGTTACCATGGTGAAGCTGGCCGCCAAATGCATCCTGGCAGGTGAGTCTGAAAACTTGCGGTGAATCCGGAGGTCTCCGGGGTCTACATGCTTCCTTGTGTATCGAGAGCTTCTGGTCATGTGAATGTCTACCCTCTTTCCCTTTCTCGCTCCCAAACGTGGGCCAATGCAAATTACTGAGTCAGTTCCATCAGCGTGGGAGAATGATCGTCCTGCGGTTGTGTGCACGGGTAGATCCTTCTGCCCCAGGCAAACTCGGAGACCGCCTTCGCCAGTTTGCGCTGTACTCAGGAGGAGCGGACTCACTCTTTAAGAAATCAGACTAAGCAAACCATAAGCATGCTTCAACTAAATCGTTTGCTGTCCCCCACCAAAAACACTAGTTGCCAGTGGATTGAATTACTTCTGGCGACTCCGTGTGTGCCGAGTAGAACC